TCTGAGCTGTATCAGCTTTAGCTGAAAGTTCTCTGTGGGCCGAAAGAAATAAGTTATTCGTGGTGGTACCAGGCGAACACCTCAGAAATGCTGGCGGAATGTAACGACAATGAAAGATACCACATGTTAATAACCCGCATTTTCTGTTATCAATTATAGGCAGGAAAATAATGGATGAGATGATGCGTAGATATCCCAGTGTCGAAATGATAGCAATCTGTTCGTCTTGTCGTCATGCAATTTTTTTGTTTTGCTCGAATGCTGGTTAGGAATGAGGAAGGGGCACGGACTCCATCTTTCGAAAAGCTCGTTCACTGGCTGTAACAGCATGCTGCGCACTGAAATTTGGCTCTACGTAGATACAAATTTGTCTGGCTGCACTCAGAAAGCTAATTACTTAGGTGTCAGGAAACATTCAGACAGTTATTCTGAATTTTTTTTGGAAATCCAAGGGATTTCGAAGGCACTCCTCAAAAAAGTCATAATTGCAAATAAGTACCTTATGACTGGTCTGACAGACCGACTGACCAGGACATTGGCTGTCGATGCAGACACCAATTTGCAGCCCAGCACTGCAGCTGCACTGTCCAGTGCTATCATATGGCCGCTGGACAGTAGGAACTGACGGTACCGGATACATCGTTGTAACGTACTGAGGTTGCACTGGCTGGTACGGAATCATGCCTGGTGCTGGAGTTGCTGCTGGAACAAGGGGCTGCTGGGATGGCATGCCTGGGCCTGAAGTCACTGATGGAACAAAGGGTTGCTGGGGCAGCATACCTGGAACTGGGGTTACTGATGGAATATAGGGTTGCTGCGGCGCCATGCCCGGCATTGGAGACGGAATGTAGGATGGCTGGGGCACGATACCAGGCGTTGCTGATGGAATCAAGGGTTGATATGGACTCACACCTGGTGCTGCAGTAGGCGGTGGTACACCTCCTGGCTGTGCACCTAAATTTTACTTGATGAATTAACCGACTAGACGAAGATTTAATTGTGTTGTTGAGCGGCATGCAAATTCCTGAGCAAAACAACCGTGGTTTGTTTCCTTGTCATCTTGTTCTTGAACGAAGACGCGGGCAAGAAAAGGAAAAGAACTTCTCATTTTTACCATCTCTGGAACCTTCCATTAGGGAATGAATGATTAGACCACTGGTTTTCGCAAGTCCAGAAACTGAAGAATGTAAGCACACACGTATGCTATTTACATAAAGTCTATAGTTTCAACTGCTTAGTTTACACTTTACTGCTTAGTTTACACATTATTTTACGCTATACCATTTTAAGAATTTTTTGTGGGCATTCGCAACAAGTCTAACAGCTAACGCTATCGTTGCAGGCAGATTTACTAATTCTTCAGATTTTCTTCTATCAATTTTTTGAAGTGAATAAACTTTAGTTCTCATAAATTAAAATGAAATTTACTTGCATCCCACACACAAACTTGCAGCTGGACATTGAAAATAAGCCCCGGTTCGCAAGGCATACGTTGCCAACGGCCGCAATACAGACTGTTCGGTGCTGGCTGGCACTGCAGGAAATGTGATCGGCTTTGTGGATCTGCTGCAAGCGGATCAATCATCCATGAACAGATTCCTTGATATTGAGCATTCTGGATTCCTTGTCCCGCCACTGAAAAAAAAAACATCCGTTCATTTGTCTATAGTTTTAAAATTTTCCTAACTTCTCATTTCTCTCAAAAAAGACTGCCTTCCCGGGGATTCAGATATGCCCCATTTATGAAAAATATGTTCTTGATTTATGCAAAAACGCATAATCACTGGCAACACTTACAGTTATCAATAATGTTTATTAGCGATTGACCGGTCTATCAGCTTCCTTCCGTTCCGAATTCACCTGTTCATGAATCTACGCAACTGTCATATTTTTTAAGGCATGTCTTGGGCCTACCATTTTTAATCGCTAATATAAACTATAGTAATTATGTCCCTTTCTGCATCGAGCCCTATTGTATTAGATTCAGATCCAAGCAGAATCTACGAAAGTGTAAGACTACACTGGTACCTGAGAATGATTGATTCTAAATTTTTTTTTTTAACCCTCTGCATCACTTTTTTAAATTTTATAATTTACTTTGGTGGTATTCGGCTTACCATATCTCTACAATCTGCCTAGTCTTTCCTAGAAACAATGGAGAGTAATTTGACATAGGCAGTGGGTATCTTGGGATTGTCTCAGATGCAGTCAGCTTTATGCATTCAGCTAGCGAAATAAGCTAAAATTATCCCAGCAACAAATTCCTCAATTTTTTCCAAAATGCTACACTTAATTTCCTACTATGCGGCCGTCATTCTTTCAGTGCGTGGTAGACGTGAGGAAGAAAACGACCATTAAGACGATTTTCGAAAATGTGACGCACGTGCTGTGGAGGTACGCACCATCTCCGATCCGAAAGGTCTGAAATGGCTTAGCCCACTTATGGATCCATTCTCGTGACATCGGTAGCACGGAAATCCCACGCCATTTGTTAAGCAGTCTTAGCATGGGCAATATTTAAAAGACAAACCGAGAGGGCATGGTTGCGGCTCTGTTACTGCTGGTCTTTGAGTCCATTGTCCTGACCCTTGTATCCACTGCCCTGGTCCTGGTATTTGTTGCCCTGGCCCTTGCACCCACTGTCCTGGTCCTTGCACCCATTGTCCTGGTCCTTGCACCCATTGCCCTGGCCCTTGTATCTGCTGTCCTGGCCCCTGTACCTGTTGTCCTGGTCCTAGTGTCCACTGTCCAAATGTCTGTTGCCCTGGTACCTGTGCCCACTGACTTGGCTGTTGTATCGGAAATTGCTGTCCCTGAAATTAGTACGACTCAAACATACTCCCGTAAAAAAAATGTTGCTGCCGAATATTATGGATTAGGGATACTCAAAAAACTGCTTACCGGGATTTGTGGTGCGCTCGATGAAGCAGATGGAGAAGTGGCACTTACGCAGATGCATAAGCTGCTTTGGCACTCACACTTTCCATGCTAAACATTTAAAAGTTCTGATATTTTGTTTTTGTAAAATTTTTTGTACCCAGAAATCCAATAGCTTAAATTCTTTTAATTTCTTTTGCCCGTACTACAAAACAAAAAATAAAAGAAGATGGAACATACAGAACTGATGCCATCGTAGCAGTACTTCTGTCCAGGCTCACAAAGCACATGACGAGCTTGACGAATCTGAATTTGCAAATAATTAAGGTCCATTTCAAGCACTCATCCTCAAGTAATGGCTTTCATCCAGTCAAATGTATCTTTGGATCTTTCAGAACTCAAGTCGTAGCAGTAAGGTGCTAAATTTACTTTCGATACATTGCCATAATCCAGTGGCGCACTGTATGGGACTAATTCGATAATTTCAGCTTTCGGACAGTCGCATTTCTTTTTTTGCGCTGGACACACACAGTGCTTCTGGTGCTGCTCCGATTTTCTCACCAAAAACTGCAAAGAAAGTTATTTTAAGGCTTTTTTGATCCTTCAGCGCAATTTAACTTTGTTTTCCACACAGTTCATGATGCCCTGGATAGAACAAAGTGCCAGTTGCATCAGAGGAAAGAAAAAGCACAGAAGCAGATGAAAATTTTCAAACGTGTTATCTTTTAATTCCGCAAATTACAGCTCATAGAAATTTAAAAAAAAAAA